ATTATAAGTATAGATATATATTAATTAAATATTCCTGTTATTATATAAAAGAGAAGATTTAGTTTAAGTTTTTTCATTGTTATAAAAATGTTATAATTTGCCAATATTGATCTCAATAACATTATAAAAAAAGATTAAAGTTTTAGTTGTTTCATTGTTATAAAAGTGATATTTTATCTTGCTTTCATTATAAAGATCTATCTGTCTAAATGTTTGCAATATAAAGGTGCCAAATATTTGATTTTAAGAATTAAAAACAATCTGATTGGAATTTTATAGTTTTTTATTTAATAATTCTTCTCAATCACCTGAAAAAGATCCGTAAAAGATCCGCGTGAAAAGTAACGGACACGGATACGGATACGGATTTTTCTTTTATCTCGGATATCCGCGGATACGGATACGGATACGGATATTCGGAACATCACTAGTACCAAGCACCATTGGCGATGCAAAGATTATCTGCGCGCCTCTAGCGACGAAATTTAGAAGTTGTCTAAGAACGACACTTTGATTTTGAGTTTAGGTTATTAAGTTTAAACATAATCGAATGGATCATAATTACATACAGAAACTTGTTTTTAATAAAAGCAGAAACAAAAAATGTTGTTACGTTCCTCAATACTTACGGAGATTCGGGAATAAGTTTTCATTTATTTCCAAAAGACTAAATTATGAATCAAATAAATTTTCTTCCTGTATGGAAAGGGGAAAGTGCAGCTGTAAAGCAATTAACCCTCTCAGATTTACTCAGCAGTGATATGTATTTATTTACTTTTATTACGGGTATTCACGCAATTGAACTTTTAGAAACATTGGTGACTTGTGTTAGTAAGTTGGCCTTAAATGCTCCAACAAACAATAAAAATTAAACAAAATATGTCATTTAGAGCCATTGGTGTTTTGTTTGGTATAAATAGACAGACATGTTCTAATTATTTAAACAATATGTCCCCCTGCTGAGTATAGTACACAAAGTTGTTATTCCTTGGCCTGATACCGAAATGATAAATAGTAACTTACCTAAATCATTCCAAAAATATACAAATACAAGAATAATATTAGACTGTGCTCAGACTGCGATTGAAAAATTTAAATCTTTTAAAGGTAAAATATTGACATACTCTCAATATAAAAGAACAATACAGCGAAGTTTAATATTGGAATAACTCCTTCTGGCCTAATAACTAAAATAAGGTCAAATAACATCTTATGGTGGTCGAGCATTAGATAAACATATTGTAAATGAATCAGAAGTTTAATGATAAAGTGATAGTGTATAAAGGTTATGAGATTGAATTCGAGTGTAATCATAGAGCAACACGGAGGGGAGTAGCCATTGCGATATAAACCGATACAAAACTGTCTGTCATTTTTTGCGGGGGGAAATCACACATTCTCAAATTCTCACACAAAAACATTCTATGTCACTACGAAACTCACACTATGACAATTGAAAAATACACTGACAATTTCACACACACATTTAAACAATCCCTGTCGTAATAGTGTAATAATATGACGCAACTACACTTACACCCGCAGTTGTAACAATTATCGATACGCATTATCGATAAATTCAAGAACTCCGTTAAGGAAATTAGCTTTAAAAATTTATTCAAAGACAGATATTATTATTGACTTTAATTATTATACCCTTTTTTTACCTAATTAATTATTATACCCCTAACTACCTACTACTACAATAATCAGACAAGATAATAATAACAAATAAAAATTTTCATTTTTTTAAATAAATTAAATTACTCATTCCATTTAAAAACCAGCGATGAAATACTGATACGGAACTATCACTGGTTTTTAAAATAGATTAATTTTATTTAGATATGACGAATACATTTTTGGGGGTTTGTTTTTTTCAATAAGTTAGAAATTATTGTATCAGTATATTTTTGCATTATTAATCTTGCTAATACATCTTGATTTGAGCAAATGGCACTATTTCTTGTGGGAATCCAGGTTGGTCTGTTATGACAAAATGTCTTACATATATCTCTTAAATTTGGATCTTTAGGAAATCTGCAATAAATAAATAAAATAATAAAAATAATAAATATAGTTGAAGTTCTCACTCAGTATTTTTTATTTAAATCAGAAAACTTAATCCCAAAAAATCTCACATTTGACTTCACCTTTTACATTTTTATCGATAACTATCTACAAACAAACCGGCAACAACGCTATCGCTCGGCGACAGCGAATTCTAGGAAAATAACTCGGATCTGTCGCTCGACCGATCCGCGTTTTGTATGAGTACGCACGGATTTGTTGGTAAACAAATCCGAAACAAGACGATTGATAATATTGTAGTTTTTTTAAGTTTATAAGAAGTAAATAGCAATAATGTGATTAAAAATTACTTAATATGAAAGGTAACACCATGTTTTTGTAAATTTGACGTGGCAGATCTCTTTTTGCAGCAAAAAACAGAACAATTCGGCATTTTTACGACGCCGTCGATTCACTAACGCAACTAGATTTAGTCTGGTGAGCAGTTGAGTTGCAACTAGTTTTATTGTACGCATAGGACCATTTGGACTTATACTTTGACAGAGGGGAACGCCTGCGTATGGCTACTCCCCTCCGGTCCGCCGGTGGCCCGTGTTGCTCTATGGAGTGTAATGAAGTGAATTAAGAATATTAATTGAATATTTAGTATAACATTTGATTAATTTTGCAATTTAATTAAATATTTATATACAAGAAACCACATAAATCTGATTTATATATACATTTTTCTGTGACGTAAATTATATACGGAAACTGTCAGTGTCGTTCTTAGACAGCTTCACAATTTTGACACTAGAGGCGCTAGTGCCAATAGATTTTTACCGACTTCAAAAAAAGGAGGAGGTATGTTCGAATGATTGTTCGATTGTATATTTTTTTGTTTGTTCACCGGTTTCGCCGCCAAGTGAATCCTAAGGAAACCGAAGGGTACTTTCGAAAATCTTAGGGGCGAGTAATGCGTCTATTATGGTTTTCAATAAGAATTTTTAAACACTACAAAGTGGCTATTTGATTTGACTGTTGTAACAATCTTTATCTTTATATATATAACTCTTCTGTGAGTCTGTACGTCACTGAACTTCTCTCAAACGACTGGACCGATTTTGATGAAATTTTTTGTGTGTGTTCAAGGGGATCTGGGAATGGTTTAGATTCATAAATCAGCCCGGCAGATGGCGCTGCAGTCGATGTTTAGGTTATTTATCCTAAACAGCTGAATTATTTGAATGAATTTTTGTTTATTCATTCAACTGGATATGCAGCCATGCAGGACAACGTCTGTTGGGTCCGCTAGTCTTTATATATATAATTCTGCTGTGCGTGTGTATGTCATTGAACTCCTCCTAAACTGCTTGACCGATTTATATGAATTTTCTGCGTTTCAGTGGCGCCCTGGATGGTTTAGATTCACAAATCAGCCTGGCAGATGGCGTTTACAGTTAGTGTCTAGGTTATCTTGAAATATCGTAATAATATGCAGGACAACGTCTGTCGGGTCCGCTAGTAAAATATAAAATATGTTGTTAACATTAGCTTTTAAGAAATCAATAAATATTCTTTGTTTTTTTTACATTTTAACTCTATGGAATAAATGAAACTGAGTCGATAACTGTACAATTTAATTACATACTCGCTAGGGCTTGCCTGGTTATGCATGCACGGCTAAAACCATCATGCAAAACCTAACGTGTATGGCCTCCTCTAGGTTAAGTTAGGTATTATTTATTTTTGTAAAATCACACGGATTTCTTTCAAATGTGCTTACATCAAAGTCGTCTTCATAAAAGAATATCGCAGATTTATCAGATGTAAACTATGGGTTTCGACGATTAGAGCATTTAGGAACGTGTTTATACAATTTTTTGGATTTTTAATTTTAGTACTTCTACACATAGGCACGGCACACGTTTCGTAACTTGCCATTTTTACAATTACATGATAGGTATACCTGTGTTAAATGTTGTTTCTACTCAACCATATGAGAAACCGCCATGTTTAATTATTACAATATGACATAATAGCTAGGAAAGGTCACGCGACCGAGTGTTTAAGCGCAAATTACAAATCAACAAATTAAAAATAATTATTTTCTCAACAAAATAAGACTTTTCAAATAACAATATTTCAATTGCAGGGGGTTTTAAATGAAAGTACATTTACTTTACAATATTTTCCCGGAAATTGTCAAGTAGCCAATTGATAAGAGTCTGGACCTGATGATGGAGCCGACAGACAGCCGAGGGAACTCCTCAACGGTTTATAGTACCTACCCTTAGTACCTATTTGTATTCATAAGAACTTTACACCTAGATGGTGAGGGTCTGTCAATAAGGGTCTGATTGGCCGGTTCCACTGAACCAACCAATCCAAGCACCGAAAGCGGTCTCGTTTCGATTACTTGAAACTTAAAACAAACTACGTATGTAGGTAGTACTAAGGCCTGTGGTGAGTAAAACATGGTCCTAGGTAAACTCGAAACCTAAAGGTGCTTCCTCGCTATTGAAGCCTTCACGTGTAATGTGTTCGACTTTGAGCATTAGGTACTTACATTACAATACCTTGACTAACGAGCATTTGCGTGTAATGTAACATATAGAAGATGTACTTTGAGCATTTCATAGCAAGAGTTCAGATATTGATGTTACAAGGTGTATCAAGATATTACACATTGTACTAATTATTACAAGGTGCGCATTGTAATGCTCGGTTCTCCTCCTTCACTGATGTAATGCATGCTCAGATCTGTAACGTTACATTACACGCGAATGCTCCCGGTGAAAGAGCACCTTTACACTTTAATTCATACCTATTCTAAGGGCTTTATAATATTATACGAGTTTGTTTTACGCCTTTACAGTACGAGTTACGAGTAAATAAGGATAGAAGTTTTGATTATATAATGTCAAAGGATATAGGCAAGGAAAACTAACATGTATTGTTATCGTAGCTTTACGAACTACGGTGTTTTTTTAATAGTTAACCATTATTTTGTGTTTATTACTGGCCATGAGGTCGTTCGTGCAATCGTTTAGCACCGAAGCCAACGCGCAGTCGTCTTGAGCACGCACACTCATTTCAATGCAACGATCCAAATTCTTCTCCAATTTTTTCATGAGCCTGGTGTCTTTGGAGTAGAACTTACTTACAAGAGCTATTAAGTTATCTGAAAATAGAGTACAATCAAAAGTACAAGCCATAAAAGTTGTCCAACCTATGTGTTTTAATATAGCCCGCGATAGGTACTTTAAAGGTAGCCCGTGAAAATTTTTTCTTAGTTTGCAATGGCATAGTACGATATTAAAAGATTTTAGCCATAATGACATGTAAGTATACACATTTATCTACTCCGTAAGCATTGTGAAATATTTTACCTTTATTAACTTTTCCATTAATAATAACACCGTTACGTTTTAAAACACAAGCAATGAGACATTCGCCATGAACAGGAGACTCCATTTTAGGAGAGAGGCGCTTGACAGGCCTCTTGTCACTAGTTTGAACTTCCTTCAAGCACTCGGTCATGTTCTTTTTAAACTTCTCAACGTGTTCCGATACTTCCTTGGGAAAATTCGCATAGGACCAGTCCGGCTCTATTTGATCCTCATTTTTATTAGGAACCGCTTAAAAAAACAGAAGTTACTCAGCATTTGTGTAGTTCATTTTATACTAATCAGAGGTCTTCATTGCACTTTGAATATGCTGTCTTCCTGGGATATGGCAGTCTTATAAAAATGCCAAAATCTGTTAGATAACTGAAAAATCCTTCAAAATCCCATATCTCAATGAAGTAAATTCCATTCAAAGTGCAATAAAGAGAGAGACTTGTACAGTGACAAGCTACGTGCATTTTTGATAATAAATATGCAAAAATACGAAAATCTACAACTTCAACTTGTGTCAACAGATTACTTAAAGTGTAGACGTGATTGACACAATTTCTTCGACGATAATACACACTATAGTTCTGTATATGAAAAATAAAATGTTACATTGATAATTACATATATAATAAAAACAAAAATTTTTCGGCAACGAATTTTTACTCGTCCGATGTTACCGGAAGAGTTATTAAATATTTACATACATTTCGGTCCACGGCTCCGTTTCTCCAATTTCAAATTACGAGTAATTATTGTGTCTTTGTCGATTTTCACGTTGTTGTCATGAACAGCGTCTATTCCCATCATACGGTTCTTTTCGGGAGCTTCTGTCTGTCCATTGCACGCGGATAAATAAATAATTGAGAAAAGCAACAGCATTCGGCGAAACATTTTGTCCTAATAACACTTGATCAAAGGGATTGTTGAGCAAGCTATTCCAATTATTGTACTAATTGATCGTTAGTTTTAATCGTCACTGCACCAATTTGTAATAAACTGGGTACTCGCGAGTGATATATTTTTAAGTCACAAATAGCCTGCAAAAACTTGGTGAAGTTTTTAGCAACTTAGGAAATTTCAGAATATTTACTCCATAGATACTTCCACCACCCAATGAAGGGTTAGAACATAACATCATGCCTTTTATCCCCGAAGGGGTAGGCAGAGGTGCACATTTCGGCACTTAATGCCACTGCACAATGTAACACCCACTTTTCACTATTTATGTTACGAGTCCCATGTAATACGGGGTGAGCCTATTGCCATATACTTACCGGTTACATTTCCAGACTCCGTGCTACTACTGAGATTTTTAAAAACACAGTAATCCTTTGCCGGACCCGGGAATCGAACCCGAGACACCTTGCCCGGCAGTTGCACTTGTGTCCACTCGGCCAATGAGGCAGTCAGAAGGGTTAGAAATATACAAAAGGTGGCTTATGTCATTCTCCATTCCTATAACTACTTCCACTTAAAAAATCACGTCATTATGTCCCATTTACAGTATCAGTGTGGATGTTATAAATAACGTAACAGGAAACATAGTTATCCATATTTTGCCTTTTATTGCCCGCAGCAGAATGTAGAGAAAAGAGACTTTTCGCCATTTTGTTTTAAGGGAAAAGCTAATGTAGATTAGCTTTTTATATAAAATGTAGATTTTATATAAAAAATCGTGTTAGTTACATTATTTATAACTTAAGAACGGCTGAATTGGTTAGAATGAAAAATAGTACGGAGGTAGGTTAGAACCAGGAGACGGACATAGGATACTTTTTAGCCAATAATTTTTACTTCTTACCGAATATCACGAACGGGAAGGGGAAATAAGGGATTGGGGGTACGAAGTCGCGGGCAGAAGCTAGTTACTATATTATAATTGAAACATGATCAATTTCAAATAGCAAACCTTAATAATTTCCTCGGCCAGGGTAGAATACCTTGATCCTCATACGCTCAGTACTATAATATAGGATATAATATAAGCACTATAATGTAGGATGTGTCTAATTAATAAAAAATCTTTGTACACTGATATATACACATATTTAATTTTATATTTTTCTATACTAAATCAAACATATTGACATAACACATATTTACAAAACATAAGGATCAACTACATTATTTTTTATTTAATTAAATTCTGCACTTCTCCATACGCATTGAACTGTGACAAATAGTAGATATACCAAAAGATATTTACAAAATAAGTTTGGAACTTTATTCTTATAAAACTAAATTGTACTTATACATAGTGGATCTATTGAGCGTAAAAATATTAGGAAACATTACATCTGAAGAAAAAACTTTTAATTATGAATTATTTTAATTATTGGATTGTCTGTCTAGTCGATATTTGGAATCGGACAAAACGTTTAAATTAAAAATTTTGTGAGACATACCGGGCCACAACCGAGATAGTTATAAGCTGATATTTATTTTATTTAGATACCTATAAAGCATTGGTGGTAACTTGAGTTTCCAATATACTCAGTATATTCAAATTGCATTCATAATTATCATTAATTAAATATAATTTCTTCATTATACTTAAAATAATTACCGAAAATACTTTGAGAATTACATTTAAAGACCGGACCGATTAGGACCGATTTTTGCAACGTCAGATAAATTTTAACTGAGCAATAACTTTGAATGTTTGACAATTTTTCCATACTGAAAACTGACAAATGTCAATTTTATTCTACAGTTAAGAATTAACTGATGTTTGAAAAGTTGGCCTTAATGGTGCTCTCAAATTGTTGTTAAAAATGTTTACAGAAAAGGGAACATTTAATTTCCTTATGTATGGGATAAAGTTATGAATAATTTGTAAATATTTTTAACCGCATTATGTGGCACAATTATCCTGTTTATGTTATTATTTATCCTCCTTAGTTTTGAATTCTTCAGTTGGCTGGCGTCACTATGTCTGAAAAATAAATACATGAAAATCAATATCTTAAAGTTTAGTTTCTTGCTCGTTTACGAATTCTCTCATTTGAATCTACATTTTGGAACGAGCATCTAGTGTCACTGACACACGATTCTATTTTTAACATTTCAAAATACGGATAATTATGTGGTCTAATATGAAATAAACGCTTTCATTTTTAGATTGCGTTATAAGTAATTTCCGCGGTAAAGAGACTGAGTGAGTTCCGGACAGCGGAAGTATATGGTACTGATCCTGTTTGTGTAAATGTGGCAGTGTACTGCCCGGGTGTGCAATGATCTGGATGGAGGGAGGGAGGGTTGGGTTTGCAGGGTGCAGTGATCGGGCGTGCGGATGCAACAGGTGGCACAAATGGGGACAGAGCGGGGCGCGTGCAGTTTGGGGAGGTAAGTGCGTAAGCGAGGGGGGTAGTACTGATCGGGTGGGCAAGTGGTCGAGCAGGCGACACAGAGGGGGCAGCGCAGAGCGCGTGCAAGCAGGGGAGGGGGGCGCATGCAAGCTGGTGAGGGGGGCGCGTGCAAGCCGGGGAGGGGGGCGCATGCAAGCTGGTGAGGGGGGCGCGTGCAAGCCTGGGAGGGGGGCGCGTGCAAGCCTGGAAGGGGGGCGCGTGCAAGCCGGGGAGGGGGGCGCGTGAGGGAGATGAGTAGTACTGACCGGGCGGGCAGTGATCGGGCGTGCGGGGGCAGCAGGCGGCACAGAGGGGGGCGGCGCGGGGCGCGTGCAGGCCGGGGAGGGGGGCGCGCGCCGCGATGCAGCGCGTGCACACGCAGCGCCCGCAGCCCCAGCAGTGGTGCTAAATCACACAATTCACAGCATATTAAACAAAAAAAAAAGACTTTAATCAAAATGATAATTTCTAGGCCCGCGAATCAAGGAGCCATGACGAATGAGAAGCAGACATGCAAGCCACCAGTCGACGCGAGCTCATGGCGGAATGGCAGCAACGGCTGTCGCAACCGATGGCTGGGCTCGCTGCCGTTGCAGCGGTAAGTCCCCTCTTTGAGGAGTGGTTTGAGAGACGCTACTGCGTCCTCACCTACGCGACTCACGCAGGTCCTCACCGGACATGGGATCTTTGGGAGGTACCTGTATCTGATAGGGCGGGAGGAAACGCCCGGGTGTCATCACTGCGAGGAACGCCCTGAGGACACGGTGGAACACACAGTAGGGGAATGCCCTGCGTGGGCTGAGGCTGAGCACCGCCATGCCCTCAGGCACGTGATCGGCGACGGCGAACTCTCGCGTCCGGCCCTAGTGCGGGTCATGATGCGGAGCGAGGGGGACTGGGATGCTGTCTCCTCCTTTTGCGAAGCAGTCATGCTAGCTAAGGAGGAGGCGGGATGCGTGAGGTTGCGAAGCGCTGCCTCCTCACAACCCAGCCATCGCGAAGGACACACCGGGCGTCGGGGATCGCGGGACGATCTCCGGCCACCATAAGCGCGGACCTGCGGACGGCGAGCATGGGTAGCTCACGTCCGACCAGAAACAGACCCGAGCGTATGGCGCGTCGCGTTTCGCGCGCGCCTCAAAGAGCCACAGACCACCACGAATGGAGTCCAATAGGGCTAATGCCTATACGAAGCCGCGGACAACTTAACGTTACCGGGGCTCCGGCGCGAAGTGCAGGAGTAGGGACGGGATGGTTTTTAGTCAGTAAGAGTCTGACACTCCCTTCCGCCTCACACAGGCGGGAGAAGTCATTCGATGATTTCCCCATAAAAAAGCCACCAGTCGAGTCCAGTTCATACAGCGCCATATCAATATATTTCAGAGCAGGCTGCGCCGTGCGACGCCCCGCGTTGTAACATAGTGTAAGTCCGTGCTGCCAAACCTCTTGAGGCACGGACGCTGTCGCTTTGATAAATAGCATACTTACCGTCATTGCGAATTATAAAGCCATAAATAATTAGGTATAAAATATTTTGAGACTGGATTGCTTATCCATACTACTAAACTAAATTAAGTACCTGTAAGTGATTGTGATTCCCAAACTTGGGTAAGTTGTGCACAATTTTATATAAAGAATTTTAACGGCCATTACCTACCTTTTTTTATATTCGTTGCGTTAATCTTAAGGTACGGGCCTGTCTAACTATCGTAGCTTATTAATTTCTATCCTTGTGTAATGTTTTGCTTTTCCTTCACTATGTTCTTATTATATGCTTGTAACCGCCTCTGCTAGCGACCATTACCTACAGTGTCGATTAAGAATCACGCCTGGAATTCTTCCCGCCTTGTAAGCCCTAATTTTCCAATGTAGTTCTTGCCATGCATACCTAGCGTTTCCCGTGCACCCCTTATACCGGCAGCTTACTGATGTGGCCCTTGTCACCAGGAATTACGTCACGGTTTCAATAACCGAACCGGACAACGAACCTGTCACAGCACCTGAGTGGAGTGGCCGAGCTGACGGAACTACGCCTGGAGGACGGGAGCTCGCCAGGGAAGTGTGGAGAACTAAGCAAGTGCTAAAGACCTAGGCAGACCCTTCAATTTTTTTTTAATATACCCACATACTGTATTAATTCTAAACCTAGTTTTATTTCTCTCTTGTACACGTCCTATAAACGTGACAATGGCGCCCAAAAACGTGGTTTAAGGTCTTTCGTACTTGTTTTGGTCATTTTAGTGGTTCTATACGGTGGTGGTTTTCCTAGTAGTGTTGTCTGTTTCGCTTAATTTTTTTCGAAGCACTGAGTGACTTGTTATTTAAATGTACTTATATGAACCTTGTAACTTAACTTTTGAAGTTAAGGTAATTGAAAAAAAAAAAAATTTAAAGTTGTTTGAACCAAAGTAACTTAGTGTGTTTCACCTGACTTCACCTGTTCATTATTTTATGTTTTGCTTTTGTGTTGTGTTCTTTGTATGAATTGTAACAGGGCGGATTTTGCTTGGCTTATGTGTGTAAATAATTGTGCATAACCTGCCCAGTTTTTGATTTTTTTACTTGATTTTTTAATTTCTTTTCGTTATGGCAATGCCAATTAAATATCTACTGCTCCAAAAGTCTGAGCTGATGTATGAGGTGGCTATCCGAGGGGAACTTCCTTCTGACAGCGTTGCTGGATTAAGACGTCAGGTCACTAAATTAACACAGTTATATTCGTCTGATGATGTAGTCGATTCGGTTTATCAGTTTTCAGAGGATAGCAAAGGCTCTCAAGAGACGCTAGAGAAAGTTAAGACTAATCTTGATGCCTTAAAGCTTAATTTTGATGAACCTCTTTTTAATAGGACTAAAACTATGTTACACCATGTATACTATAGGCTTCAACGAATTGAAACACCGCAGGCGGCAGATGATTTAGCCAACTTAGTGAAATTAAGGAAAACTTACGAAGGGTATTATGAAATACTTTTGAGCCTTGATAGGTCAAAGGTCAGGGACCAGAAACAAGCCGCGTCTTCAGTTACTTCTGAGGAGGAATTACCTGATAAATCTAACTTAGCCGGAATGAATATCGCCATTTCATGTGATCGCGGACTAATAGGAGAACTGAATAAATTAAAATATGACGGCAAATCTTGTGTCAGATCGTTTATTCAAAGGGTTGAAGAATTCCGTATGTCCAAAAATATAACCGAAAGCAAAATACTAAGTTCTGCTATCGATATTTTTACGGGTGACGCACTTCACTGGTACCGTAACGTCAGGGGCAGTGTCGGTAGTTGGAACGAAGTACTGACTGCGTTGAAGGATGATTTTGATGTACCCGACTACGACTATCGCATGGTCTCAGAAATACGCCAGCGTACACAGGGCGAGGAAGAGAACATTACGGTTTATTTATCCATAATGCATGGCATGTTTTCTAGGTTAAGTAAACCCTTAAAGGAAGACGAAAAACTTGAAATTATATTGCATAATATTCGTCCTTCCTACTCTAATATTATAGCTGCTAGCCCTAATATTAAATCCCTCGAAGATCTAAAATTAATCTGTAAAAATTATGAACGTATTAAGGTCCGTTCAGAATTCTTCAAGGAACCACCTTCGGTTTCAACTAATACTTTGGCTCCTGAATTTGGCTACCAGTCTTCAAAGCGTAAGTCAACGACTAGTGGCCAAGGAAATTTTTACGCTCGTAAGTATGAGGGTGCTCACCAGCAGGGGTCACACAAGGTCTCCGAAATTCAGGCTTCTGAGGCCGAAACTTCGGTTATATCCAAGGTTCCTTACTGTCACCGTTGCCGCGTTAACACGCATTCTATGAGAGATTGTACGGCTGAGCGCAAAGTTTTTTGTTTTAAATGTGGCATGAAGGAAGTTCGTACACCGGATTGTCCAAACTGCAAACCAAAAAACTAAAAACTGAAAATTGTAGGACGCATGCGGTTACTCATACAGATAGCTCGGACTGGAATGATTGGCTCATGTTTGTTGAAAACTTCTTTTCTAGGAAAGATATTTCTACAATTTTCAATGTCAAACCGAGTAACGACCCCAGGCCTTATGCAAAGGTGGGAATCAATAAAGACTTATTTTTGTACGGTTTGTTGGATTCTGGTTCCGCTGTTACTATCCTAGGTAGGGACTCTCATGAACTTTTGATAAATCTAGGTTTGATTCTATGCACTGATGAGAGGATAACTGTTACTGCAGCAGGAGGTCAGAGGATAACATCCCTTGGTTATATTGTTCTACCTTTGACCTTCGAAAACAGGTTTTCTATTATAAAGGCGCATGTTATACCAGCGATCGAAACCGTTTTAATCCTAGGAATCGATTTTTGGAACACTTTTAACCTGTGCCCTAAGTATCTATCAGAAAAAAAAAACTTATTTACAACCGACCCTGGGCTCTTGGGAATTTCTTCGTCATCTTCTCAGCATCTGTGTGGCTATGACGTTTTGAACCCTCCTCAAAAACTGTTAGCGGACAGCGTGGTAGATCTTTTCAAAAACATCTCGTACACAGAGATAGGTTTAGGTCGTACTAACGTCATTAAACATCGCATAGATACTGGTAATGCTGAGCCTATCCGTCAGCGATATTACCGCATGTCACCAGAAAAGCAACGTATTGTTGCTGAACAGGTTGATGAGATGTTGGCACTAGATGTTATTGAACCTTGTGAGAGTCCATGGTCTTCTCCAGTACTAGTCGTGGGTAAGAAGGATGGAAAGCCCCGCTTCTGCTTGGACAGCCGTAAATTGAACGCGGTAACAAAGAAGGACGCATATAAGCTTCCATATGTGTCTGAAATTTTAGATAATCTGAAGGATGCGCGTTATCTTTCCAGCATAGATTTGTCCAAAGCATTTTGGCAGATATTAATTGATGAAAAGGACAGAGAGAAGACGGCCTTTTATGTTCCTGGTCGAGGAACTTTTATGTTTAAGGTCACAGCTTTTGGACTTACCAATGCTCCTGCTACGCAACAGAGACTTGTCGATCTTTTATTCGGGCCTGAATTCGAACTCAAAGTCTTTGCATACTTGGATGATGTGATTATCATAAGCAAAACTTTTGAGGAACACGTAAAACTGCTTCAGAAAGTTTTTCAAAAACTGCAATCGGCTAATCTCACTGTCAATCTAGACAAGTGTCACTTTTTTCGAAGTCAGCTACGGTATCTTGGCTACATAGTGGATGCTCATGGCTTGAGAACTGACCCAGATAAAGTCAAAGCCATATTAGACTTTCCCACTCCTGTCAATAGGAAGGAGGTTAAGCGTTTTTTGGGTACGGCGTCGTGGTATAGGCGTTTTATTCCACAATTCAGTACCGTAGCAGGCCCTTTAAATAAGCTGACTTCTAATAAAAAGAACTCCCCTGCTTTTCAGTGG